TTAGTGCCAATTGAGCATCGTTTAAATGCCACGACCTACCTGACCATTGTTTCTGACCATGTCCATCCCATTATGACCACCATGTACCCATCCTCTGATGGCTACTTCCAGCAGGATAATGCACCATGTCACAAAGCTCGAATCATTTCAAATTGGTTTCTTGAGCATGACAATGAGTTCACTGTACTAAAATGCCCCCCACAGTCACCAGATCTCAACCCAATAGAGCATCTTTGGGATGTGGTGGAACGGGAGCTTCGTGCCCTGGATGTGCATCCCACAAATCTCCATCAACTGCAAGATGCTATCCTATCAATATGGGCCAACATTTCTAAAGTATGCTTTCGGCACCTTGTTGAATCAATGCCACGTAGAATTAAGGCAGTTCTGAAGGCGAAAGGGGGTCAAACACCGTATTAGTATGGTATTCCTAATAATCCTTTAGGTGAGTGTATAGTAGGTGTGATATCAAGGTTTTGCTTAGATTCAGTTAGAAACAAAAATCAAAAAGCTAGAGTACGCATAGATACATAGATTACATATACATATATTAACATTGCTAACATCTAACATAGACAAAGACTGTTGTTTGAAACTGCGTTTTGCACTGTTCTATTCTATACAAATTAATTAAAACTAAACCATTCCTATAACCTGCTCAACATACACAAACCTAGATAGGATGAGTATTCTAACCTCAGTAGCTAATTAATTACTATGCACACTCAATACTCGGATGGTATGTAAATACAGAAATTATGTTTTAACAATACACAACCATGGGAACAAATAATCTCTACAAATGATATAAGACCAAGTTTAGGTTCTGATTGACTGGGGGAAATTCTGGTTGCATACAGATAATCAATACTTTATTGATCCCCGTGGGGAAATTGTCTTTACGCCTCCCTCAACTTGCTCTTTGTAGAGTAAGCTGTCCACGAAGGGCTGCCACCCGTAGCAGCGCCCAGGGAGCCCAGGACCTATTATATTAGCTATCACCACGGTTTTGCACAAATCACGAAATGGTTTGAAGCGCAAAAAAAATCGGTGTGCATCGTTGTCTGTGTACTGGACATTACAATTCTGTCATTACAAACGCCGCACCTTACTTCCGTTAAAAGTTATTAAAGCCAGAAAATTGAATATCGAATATGAGGCTAACTTAACCGCGGTGACGTTTCCTACAGGAAACATAAAAGCGAGCCAGTTGGCTGTAATAACTCCCATAAAACGGACAAAACATCACGTCTCACGCTCCGTTTACTTTACCCGGCGAAACTGTTTGACTGACACGGCACAAACTCCATCTGTATCGTACCTACCCTTTCCCTGTGATTCTCCGCTTGTAAAATTTTGTCAGTGATTGGTAAAAGTGTTTCGCGTGTTGTAAATTTGTTTTCACTTTTGTAAATTGGTTTTGGGACTGGTAAAAGTGTTTTACATATTGTAAATTTGTTCTTATTTTTGCAATATTGTTTTATGATATGTTGATTTGTTTTATGATATGTTAATTTGTTTTATGCAATGTTAATTTGATCAGCCCTATTCGGCCACCGTAGTATTATACACACTTATGACAGTTCGAGCTTCGTGACATTCGAAACTTGCCGCAATAGGTATTGAACATAAGAACGTATTTGCTATAGCTGCAGTTCCGGTTTTTGCCGGCAGGCTGTGCACAGTTAGTGTTTCTAAACTTTTCGAACCGTTTCTAAACATTGTTTGTATCGAATGTTTCGAAATTGTTTTGATGATTCGAGATTGCCATCTCATGATCTCTACAGATATAAATTAACATACCTTTAATTGTATAGTTTGGGGATACACGGCGCAGTACGCCATGTCCATACGTGAGAGATCACCGACCAATTTTCTACCTAACAGATAGTTTGTAAAATTTTGGAAAAAAGTCTGAGAGCGCACTTCTCATGCTGTATCTACAACTCCATTGCCAAGCTAGGTAGCTGGTGTCGCGCATGCGTACGCAGATCGGGCAGTCACAAGACACGCCCTCTCCCCACCACTTGACAGGAGAGTTTGTCGCTTTTTATTATCTTCATATCCGTTCCGTCGTGTATCACGGCATTTCCTGTTGGCCCTGTACTGGTTACTGCATATAATGCTTTTACGTATTGCAGCTTTTTGTTGACGAATCATTTACTTTTTTGTTTTGGACGAAAAGACGACAGTAGCATATTCGGGACTCGCCGTGTGTAAACGTATTAAAGAAAGGTATAAAAAGCTGTTACTTGATGCACAGCTACAACATTCGTCGCCATCCTTTAGCATTTCACATTGCTTAATTTTATTTACATGTTTTTAAATTTATTTAGTAGATTATACTATGTCTCTTTATGGTGTTGTGTACTGCTTTGAGGCTACCTGAAAGCAAAAGATACAATTGATTTAGTCAGATGTAACAGAGTAATCATTCAAGATCAATCAAACCCTGTTGTGGCCTCCCACGATATCCAAATGGAAATTAATTTAGTCGTATTTTTCCAGAATGGACACTAGAGGAAAGCTTAAAACCTGTCTGAAACAATTTGAGTGTGAAAGTACATTATCTCAGCTGCCGCCACACCAAAAGGCATCTGTATTGATTCCATTATTCATGAAGAAAGGGGAACTCCACATTTTAATGACCCTTCGGTCATTAAACGTGAGTAAGATATTTTTAATCAACTGGATTTGATCTAAATAAGACACAGTCAATGCCAACGAATGTTTGAACAAAGATGTTCAAATAGACCATTTTATAGATGTTTTTTCACTATGGAAGAATGTATGGAACATGAGTGACGTTGAATTTATGATTTCCACAGTTATTTGAAATAAATGACAGCAAGGGATTCTGATTTAGACGTCTGCTGTGCTTTATTTTACTTTTGAGCTAAAACATAGTGCAGGTGAGGTGTGCTTTCCCGGCGGGAAACATGACTCAAGAGATCGTGATGAGATAGACACTGCTCTCAGAGAGGCTGAGGAAGAGATTGGTCTTTCTACTGATCAGGTGGAAGTGGTTGGCAGGCTTTTCCCAGTATTAAGTAAGGTAATTTTTTTTTCCAAGTTTTTACAGACAACTAATCCCAAAGCTGTATTTTTCATAGTGAATTCCGCAATATTAAATATCACCAATGTAACTCTATTTGTATGTTTGTATGAGCCAAGGAAGGAAATAGCTATTTTTTTAGTTACTGGAGATAAACTGATGACGTCAAATTAAGCCCATTCCATCATTTGCTTTCTCACCCTAAGAGCGGCCTCTTCGTGACTCCAGTGGTGGCCTTCATAAAGGACACATTTCAAGCTCATCCGAACCCAGAGGAAGTAAGCCATGTGTTCTCGGTGCCACTAAGTTTCTTCCTGGGCCAGACAAACCACTCCTCCTATTACTTACCTGGCATCACTGGGAAACTTCATAGTTTCATGTACCAGGACTTTGACTCCAAAAAGACGTTCCACATATGGGGTCTGACAGCCATATTGGCAATACTTGTTGCTGTCCTTGTCCTTGGTAGAAAGCCAATGTTTGAAGTTGACTTTGACTCCGAAGACCCCCTGCCTTTCTTCCAGCGTAATCTTCATTTTCAAATCAGCAAATTATAATTTGCTCATGGAGGCAGTGTCATTTTAAGGAATTGCTTTACCCAGACTTCTTCCTGCTGCAGTGACACAATACTCATAGAAATTATGTTAGTTGCTTCAGGGTAGTTAAGACTGAACATGGTGGCTTCTGGGTTATTGGGAATATGTCAATGAAAGACCTTGTTATAATTCATAAGAATATACTGTATACTCGTTATGAAGTGAAGGTTCTCTGAATGATGCAGAAAATCTGGCCTTATTGTAACACTCAGTAAGGTATACGGGTGAACAATTAGCCCTCGATAATAATAGATCCTAAGTTGTTTGTGGACCAGCGAGTCAGAGCTGTTGCTCTAATATCGTCCATGATATCCCAGTGGCCCAAACCATAGCTCCATATATCCTGTCTCAGCTTTTTATTGTGATGCTATATAATTTCACCAGGGCTATTCTGCTTTCCAAGCTTTCTAAAGTAAATCACTATAAACTGTGAATGAATTTGCTTGTAAATGTTCTATACTAAATAAAGTAGTATGTTTTATTAGCTACATTATCTTGTACTGTATTCTAAGTATATAACATAATTACATAATTTTCTCAGGGATCAATAAAGTATTCTGAATCTGAATGAATCTGAATTATCTTAATACTACTTAAGTTTTCTTGTTATAACAATCACAGACATAATGCATTGTTTTGTTTGCAACTTGGGGGTGTAACTTTGAAAAAGTGTTGATGGAGTTTTGGTATGTGATGCTGTGTGATTAACTTTCTTCTTGTCCCAGCTGTTCCAATTACCCAGGATAGCATGTGTGCAAATTTAAAATCCCCGTCCTCCTCCTAACACACATACCCCACAACTTTGACTCATGACTCTGGCTTTTACCAATCTGATGCCATTTAAGAGTATCTTTACATTTCTTAATGCTGCTAACTGCCAGACCATCTACTCAGATCATTTTAAATTTGACACTTTCAAGAAAATATGGGAAATATTTGGAATTTTAGAATTAGAACACAGAAAGATTGCTGATGGAGTAAGGGTTGTTTTCTTGGTACTAGGAACCTTCAAGCAATCACTCTTATCCATGACACAGGAGAACAGCGTGCTCCTTTATGCACTGGATATTATTATTTTTTCACTTGTGTGGAGTATCTGTGTCACATAACTTTTGCTGACCAATAAATTGTATTTTTATCGTCATCGCAATTTGAACATGTAGAATAAAGCCACAAAAAACTTTCTGAAACATGATCAATAAGAAAAATAATTTACACATGTATTTACACATTTGACCTATCAGTTGGATCTGTAATGGGACTTCTTCCACTATACAAATTCCTTCTTCCTCTAACATGGCAAATTTTCCTTGTCTCATACAGGCCTTCAAATACCTAGAGTGCTACCAGCCCGTCTTTCTTCTCACGCTACATGCTTGATGAGGTTGATGTTTTTGAAGCAGCAGCCGTGGTTCTCAGTGCAGTTGCTCAATTCCACCCGCAGGCATTAGGCATCCATTCAGTAGTCAAGGCTGCTTTGAGGGAGAGTAACCAAACGAAACCCAGACTAGTTCTGTATTCTCCGGGCCTTCTTGCCACAGTCAGCTGTTTTTTTTGTTTTTTTTTTTAAAAAAAAAAAAAACAAGGCCAGATCCACACTATAAGAAGCTTTGCACCACTGGTTTAACTGTTACAGTTAAATCACATATTTCCACATGACTCTAATGAGCAGGTGTGTTGGCATTTGGGCTTGAATCCCACTTCCGCTTTGTGTGTGTGGAGTTTGCATGTTCTCCTGGTATTATGTGCCTGTTCTGGTTTCATCCCACAGTCCAAAAATACAATTAAGTTTATTGGGGTCTGTAAAGGTACCTGTAGTACGTGATTGTGTACATATGCTTACTGACTACTTTATTAGTAGGTTGGATCGGTTTTTTTCTTCAGGACTGCTTTAACTCTTTGTGACACAGAATCAAAATGCTGCTTGAAACATTCCTCAGAAACTTTGGTCCATGTTGACATGATGGCATCGCACAGTTTCTTCAGTTTTGTGGGCTGCACCTTCACAATCCAAATCTCCTGTTCCACCACATCCCATAGATGCTCTATTTGATTGAGATCTGGTGACTGTGGAGGCCTTCTGAGTACAGCGAACTGTCTGCAAACAGATAACACAGAGATTACTGCAGTTAACAGGACACAGTGCAAACATAACAGAGAACCAGAGAACCACCGCTCACTTGATGTTCTTCCTTTTTAGTCCATTCTCTGTAAACCCTAGAGATGGTTTTGTGTGAAAATCCCAGTAGATCAGCAGTTTCTGAAATACTCATACAACCCAGTTTGGCATCTGCATCCATGCCACATTCAAAGTCACTTTAAATCACCTTTCTTCCCCATTCTGGCGTTTGTGAACATTAACTGAAGCTCCTGATCTGTAGCTACATGATTTTATACATTGTGCTGCTTACATAGGATTGGCTGACTAGATATTTGCAGTGAGAAGTTTGGTCAGAGGGGAATATACAGTGTTGAAGTAACTACCTAAACTAAGTATAAACATTACTTGTGAGTCACAATTAGCACAGTAGCAGAAGTGAAACTCGACACTCAAAAGTGTCAACTTGTTGTCATCTTCTAAGCATATGCCCAAGAAATCAGAGAAATGAAAGTAGATAGTCCACGTCAAATGAAAGCCTTCATTACAGTAAAACACTGAAGAGCATACAAGGACAGTAAATGTACTAAAAATTAGACTGAAAGCATTACTACTGTCTACGAGTAGTCTCATTTTAACACTAATATAGTGAGTTTCCCAGCTAGCAAATTTTATCATTGGGACCCCTGTCTAGGCAAATTTTTTTGTCAGAGGACCCCCAGTCAGCAAATTTTGGCAAATGACAATCTGACCCTCCCCCCTACCCCCACCCCCCATTTGCTTTTTACTCTTTTCTGATGCTGTGGACCTTGCCGTTGTGTTGCTGATGTAATTTGTCCCTTAGGGAAAAATATTTGAGGACTTCTCATTTGTAGTGTTGCAGGGCCTCTTGGAATCAAATGAGCTGTGATATAATCAGCAATTACTCACACATTTGAACAGTGGTAAAAGCCAAACTTTTATAATCTCAAAACCACAAATTTATGGAGAATTCATTGAAAACCAGAATACACTGAAAAAAATATCAAATTCTAAAAATAGTCCCATCCATCCATCTAACAACTGCTTATGCTGGTTAGAGCTGTATGGGGTGTCTGGGGCCAAAAATAGTTCCTTAAATATAATGCAGCAGAAAGGGGAAAAAAGAAAATCTATTAAAATGTGGGGGAAAAAACAAAACCACATTTGATAAAACCACATTGTTTAATGAAACAAATCTCCTTGGTAATGAAAAACTGTTGTGGGACCATTTTGCAATGTGGTCCAGACATGAGCTTTAAACACATTACGAAACAATTTTTTTATGTTGCAATTCCCAAAAAGGAAGTAGAAACTAGTAACTTCTTAACTATATACACGAATTGCATGTACAATGAGGTTTGCAATCACATGGCATCTTACATCAACACTGAATTTTAAAAACAGTTGAACTGTGAGAGAAAAGGTAATGTAAATTAGATTACATTAATTACATAAATTAAAAATAAACATGTAACTCAAATGTATTACCATACATGTTCTGTACAGGAGAATTATTCCTATAATTAAGCAATTAAAACACTATTTAAATATAAAAGCAGGCAAATCAGTCAAAGGTTGAATAAAAAAATCGTTCATTCATCACAAATGTCAAAAGAACATATGAAATCTATCACTATTTAAGTGGGTTTTGACAACAAAATTCTTCAACAATAAGCCCAAGTATAGAGCCCCTGCCATTCTTACGGTTTCTTGGTACCAGACAATACACTGTTAAAATATTATTCAATTCATCTACACCAATAAAATATTCTTTATAATGTACAATTAACCATACAGATTTTTTCTTATAGAGACATATAATACTGAAATACAGAAACCAAAAAACAAGAACACAATATTCTGTAATTATACAAAAATATGGACAAAATGTCAAATAAATTTCAAAAGGCTGACTAGGATTGACATACATTCTAAGGAACATCTAGAAGAATTTCTGAGTCAGTACGGCAGTTAGTGCTGGGTTCACATGGGGAAGCTTGCCTTTTGGATATGAAAGATAACTCCTTTGTTCCCTCACCTGTGGCTGAGCTGGAGATGTGATGGAAGAGCTTTCGCATGCCAGTGTCCCTGAGCGAGCTTCGAAACGAGCGTGCGGCAAACACATACAGCAGGGGGTTCACCGTGCTGCTGATGAAGACCAACGCCCCAGTGACAAAGGCCATGTTGGCCCTTACAGATTCCATGCCATCTGCCATGTCAGCATGCCAGCTCTCCAGTATGATAGCCATCAGAGATAGAATGTTACACATGTGATGAGGAATCCAGCACAGGGCAAAAACAATCACGACACTGATTATTAAAACCATGCTGTTCTGCTTAAATTTGAAGGTCATTTGCGTAATTCGCTTCCATAAGCAGCCATAGCAGACGACAAGGATGACGAAGGGAACCACGAAGCCCACCATGGTTTCAAGAAGCAGAAACGCCACCTCTTCGCTGGTTGAAGAGTATTCCCTGAACAGACATTGCTCCTTGTCTTTCACTTTTTCCAGAACTTGTGTGGGAATTACAGGAATGCTGAAGATGAAAGCCAGAGTCCATAGGACAAGCAGTAATTTATTCAGCAATTTTTTCTTCTTCCAGTTGATGGAGGTGAATGGATAACGGACGGCAATAAAGCGCTCGATGCTCATGACTGTGATGAAGAACACACTGCTGTACATGCAGGAGTTGATGATGTACACCATGGCTTTACATACCACTTCGCCAAAGACCCATGATCGCACGAATGAATAGATCCACAGGGGCAGCGTGATGAGCACCAGCAGGTCAGCAACAGCCAGATGAAGGATAAGAACAACAGTGTGCGAGCGCTTTTTGACGTGCCGCAAAATTGTCCAGATCACCATCAAGTTCCCTGGCATTCCCACTATGAAAGACAAAGCCAGGATAACACAGGCTGCCACGGTTTCACCCGGAATGTCCTCCATTTGCTCAGCTGGCCATGTGCTTGAGCCATTCATGTCTCACTCGTTGTGTCTGAGAGCATGTAAAGAGAGAGAACTGCTGTGCAAGCAAGAAATACCTTCTCCTATGCAGTGTGGAGAACAGGAAGGACGCTATTTGGGAGGTATCTTGAGAGACAGAAGTTGGTGATTCATACATCTGATTCCTGTGCTTTGAAAATACAATGCTAAGGATTATATAAAACACAAAAAGCTAAAAAGAAGTGGGGGAAAAAATGTCATTTCATGGAGAATTAATGCAGCTGTGTGGTTGATTTGCCTTTACAGACTGTTGACTATTATATACATTTTGTTCATAATACTGAATAAAAAATATTGAATATTACTAACCAAAGTAATTATTATAATATTTTTATGACTTAAATTGCTTCATTGACAATTGATATGCCCAAATGCAGCAGTGGTCAGTCTTTTCAGCAAAGAGCCAGTGTGTATGCAGGTCTGTAGGGCAGGGGTGGGCAATCTTATCCGCAAAGGGCCGGTGTGTATGCAGGTCTTTAGGGCAGGGGTGGGCAATCTTATCCGCAAAGGGCCGGTGTGTATGCAGGTCTTTAGGGCAGGGGTGGGCAATCTTATCCGCAAAAGGCCAGTGTGTATGCAGGTTTTTGGGATAACCTGTAGGTCAGCTGTTCAAACCCAGGTGTGAGGACTCTTCAGCCAATCAGTCCTTGTTTTAAGATGATGTGAGGGGGATATAGGGCTTTCAAAGGAACAAACAGGCACACTTGGGTTCGCTTCTAAAAATGCTTTATTACAAGCAATACAAAATAACCTTGCATTAAAATCAATACCAAAATATTGGATCAAAGGCATTGCAAAATAATTCCATATCACAAGTGATATCCAATAGTATTATAAATCATAAACAATAATCAAACTGCCAATACAACTGATTATATGTGTATATATATACTGTATATGTATATATAAAAAAGTGACAATAAAACATACATACATAGAAAGTACCAAATAATATTATTTTTATTGTGATTCTCATACAATGATAATTAATCCTAATAATGATTGAATCAGTACACAGACACTGCAAAGCTATTCACACTCGGACGTGCCATCATCACCCACCTTCACTCTTAGACTGGGGAGCCCGTTTCAGTCCTGGTAGGAGATCAACACGTGAGTCCCAAGAAAGTGCCAGGTGATGCGTGCTCTGTCCCACGGCTGAGCTCCAACCAACACTAAGATCTCCCCCTTCCTTTATACTAATTTTTGGGCATTACGTGCGGGCAGGGGACGAGCTGGCCAGGCTCACCCCTCCCCTCAGGCATGCGGTTTGCGGTTAAAATCAAAAATACAAAGACAAGTTCCCATGAACAACACGTTCCCCTTTTTCTCTAGATAAGATCAGTATCCCACGTACACTGATTACTAGATATGATTTCAATCCAAAGTAATTAGACTAATGTCCTTGATCAACTTCCCCTTTCTCATGAGAACATCTTCTGAGAACAAAATAAGCGGCCCACACACAAATCGTATACAACACACAAATGTATAAAACACATGTTGGACCACCCTTTCTTCCCAGGAAAACTCCTCAGAAAAACAAAGTAAGCATCCTTGAACAGGGTTAGCATCTTGTAAATCAGAAATAATAAGACAAGTGTCCGTGAACAGAATAAGTATCACATAACAAAAATTCTTGGAACAAGATAAGCATTCTGACTCTTCTCATAAGAAACAAGTTATACAGTTCAACCTTGACACAATAATATTATGAGTGAATCATGGATAATATGGACGTTGTATCTGAATTTCAGGATGATTAGTCCACACATGATCAGAATCAATCCACACCTCAATCACCTCATATGTATGTCTATTAGGTGGAGTTGGAGGTACTCCACCAAATCGTGAGTAGCGAAGTCGGACAATTGCAACCTCCCAAATCATCACAGTGACAGGGGGACATTCAACATATCTCTTTAATTCTATGCTACGGGGGCAACATGGCCAGTTGCAGGGCCACCTGTAAGTTCGTCTTAATACAGTCCTCTAATTAGTAATCTAATTAGGGAGTTGCAGTGAAAACCCGCATACACTGAGGTCCTTTGCGGATAAGATTTCCCACCCCTGTCTTTAGGACAGGGGTGCCCAACTCCAGTCCTAGAGGGCCAGAGCCCTGCATATTTTTGGGTTTCCCCTCATTTATCACACCTGATTCAACTCCTTGTGCTTATTACCACACAGCTCTTCAGCTGAATCATTTATGGTGGAACAGGGAAAGAACTAAGCTACACAAGGCTCCGGCCCTCCAGGACTGGAGTTGGGCACCCCTGCTTTAAGGTAACCTTTGTTCAAACCCAGGTGTCAGGACTCTTCAGCCAATCAGGCCTCTAGTAATCTAATTAGGGAGTTGCAGCAAAAACCCGCCCACACAACAGCCTTTCTGGATAAGAATGCCCACCCCTGCCCTAAAGGAAGGATTTTTTTAAAGAGGAGATTGGAAACAAGGTGCCAAGGTAGATAATCAGCAAATCCAGTGACAGAGTCAGTGAAACTGAATCTGCTTTATTCCAGGTGAAAACAATACTCTCAAGTCCTTTAAAACCATCAGTTATAACACCACTGTTTAGTAATTAAGCCTTGGAACTTTCAACACAAGCATCCAGTCCTATTTATTCTAGGTAAAAATAATCTCCATTTTTTCAACTAAACTATAACGAAAGTTGAATTTAAACCTACACCTCCAGGGAACAGTGATCTGACCAAACAGCACTTTTGACTATGAAATCATCTTATTATTATTCAGCATCACTATATATAATCAGGCAAGCCATTGAGTTGGTAGTTCACAGTTGTCTCCATCTTCTGGCCATATACCTCCTACTTAAAACCTCATAATTACCTATCCATCAGCGATTTCTTCTCCTAATAATGTAGTAATTTTTATGTTTTTGAAATTTTAATATAAAAAACTTCAGTATCCATGAACAAACAACTGGAAAGAAATAAACTGATACACAACTGTATTTAATATATAAAATTTATTATATCCAACTAATACGGCAAAATGTTAGCTATGAACCTCAGGTCTGTTGTTCTGTCATAAAATAAAATGACTTAACCCTCGCTTAACCCTGAAATATGTCTACAGCAGGCGAAGTGAAGAAGAAAGTACTCCGGACATCGATACCGGAAATAAGCATGTGACGACATGCAGAACCGGAAGAGGTGGGTGAGGAGCGAAGGTCCGACCTACAGCGAAACAGCAGTAGTAATAAATAATAATGCTAAAAGTACAACAACAACAAACAAAGTAGGTCTTGTGTGCGCTCAGTAGACTGACACGGTTTAACGTCACAGCTGGATTTATCCCAGAAAGACAGCCGAGCAGGGAGCCGTGTCTGCTTTTAAAGGCAGGCTTGGAGCGGAGTTGGACCAGATAAGCAGCATCGACGCGGGACTATGGCAGGGCGAGGGGGGTGTGTGCTATACACTTTTAACAGATCCCCGATTGCCCTTAGCTTCCGAGCTCTGGGTTTTTCACACCTCCCCCCGACCTGTTAGTTGGTAGTTTTTTGGAGAAACACATGTCCTTCTTCGCTTTCTCAAGGTTTCTGAATTGAAAACGCAGAGACTTAAATCGCGATCTTAAAGTCGGGTGTTAAACTTGAGCCACTTCACCATCCAGCTGTAAACCTGTATGGAGAGCACCGACACATGAACCCTATCCACCAGCATTCTCATAGTATCGGGGCTTGTTAACTTTCTTTAAAAGCGACATTATTGTCCATTTTCTGCCGCGATGCCCCTGTTGTTCTTGGAGAGGTTTCCTTGGCCCAGTCTGCAGACTTACACAGCCCTTAGCGTGGTGCTGCTCGCCGGGAGTATCCTGAGCGCATACACCGCTGTGAAGGACCTGGCAGTGGACAGTCCGATGGCCGACGACCGGCCGCTCACCCTTGAAGGAGATGAAGAGCATGAATTTCGGGGTCCTGCCCAAGCCACAGACGTGCTGCAGTATCTAGCTAAGGATAGCCTTTTAGTGTGGGTATGAAACTTTTTTTTTTATCTGCATTGCCAGTAGCTGTCTTGTAAAAAAAAAAAAAAATACATATAAAAGCAGAACCTGCTTTCGCTTATAGTAGATTTAGTATTAAACATAAGTTTCAGTAACTATTACTTCTTTCAGGTGCTCGTGAACACAGCTTGCTGTTTGCTCATGTTGGTCGCCAAGATGATTCAGTGCATGGTGTTTGGACCTCTCAGAGTCAGCGAAAAGCAGGTGAGGACAAACGAATCGTGTTAATTCAAATCAGTTAGCTGGTCGCCGTCTCTTGAAGGTTCAGGGGTACACAACATTTTACTACTCTTCCATCCATTTTCTAACGACTTATGCTGGACATTTTTGTGGGACGATTTTACTCTTATATTTGTTTTAATTGAAAATGGCGATAATTCCAGCGATATTTCCTGAACGTTGAAATATCAGTTGCTCTAATATGCAAACAAAATAATTGCCTGACATGTTTTATTAAGTCCTCACCCTGTTTGCTCTCTCCACAGCATCTGAAGGACAAGTTCTGGAACTTTATTTTTTACAAATTTATCTTCATCTTTGGGGTACTGAATGTGCAGAACCTGGAGGAAGTTATTTCATGGTGCCTGTGGTTTGCCGTCCTCGTCTTCCTACACTTGATGGTCCAGCTCTGCAAGGATCGTTTTGAATACGTAGGTTTGACCACCAGAGGGCGTTGCTGCTGGTCTTTAGGTTTATAAGGCATTAATAGCCATGAGCCTTTATTTGGTCACAGAAGGTGCTACTGAAAATGACCAAATTAACATTGGGGTTGAATTTTCAGCAGTCTTGACTCATCCGTGACACTTTATGTTGTGAACTAACATCTGCCTGCCTTGGCTTGTGTCTGCCGTTTCCTACTGTTAGCTCTCCTTCTCACCCACCACCCCGATGAGCAACCATGGGCGTGTGCTCTCCCTGTTGGTAGCCATGCTGGTGTCCTGTTGCGGAATGGCCGTGCTCTGTGGCTTGCGGGAGCACCCCCACGGACTGCACAGTGTGGCCTTCATGGCCGCTGAGGTAGGAGGTGGCAAATTTGCTTCCTCTCAGAGCAGGATGTCGACAATATTTATTGCCCACTTAGTTACCTCTGTAGTTTGTATTTGTCAGTAGATTTTTACTGTGGGGGAAGATTTGGGCTTTTGCTTGAAAATTGACTTCAATGGTCTGTGTACATGCTGTCAAGTTGCATAAAAGTTAATGATGTTCTGTTTCTGTAGTGTCTGCTGGTTACCATTTGCACTGGACATGTCATAATAAGGTTAGTCTTTTTAAGGGAGGTTTTCTGCTTGAAGTGAGAGAGTTTAAGAAATCTCTTGTGATTATGTCACAACTATGATGTTAAAAAATGGGAAATTCAAGAATATATCATTCACACACCCTTAAAATTTCGGCTGCCATTCTCATTAGGAGACCTTTTCTTTCTAACCCAGGTACACTATTCACCTGTGGGATCTGAACCATGTGGGCACTTGGGAGAGCAAAGGTACCTATGTGTACTACACTGACTTCATCATGGAGATGGCCCTCCTTTCGCTGGACCTGATTCATCACATCCACATGCTGGTAGGCAGATCCTTCTCAAGCACATTTTCTGGGACATTCCAAGGCTCTATTGGCCATGTTCAGCTTGACATGAGTAACATGAAGGAGTGTAGACAATAATTCAAAGACCATGGCTGTGTTGCTCTTGTGACCTGTGATTAGATGTATAGACATCCATGTGGTGGGTATCCTTCAGTTGAGTTAGCCTTTAAGCTAACGGTTGTTTCTCATCTTCGGAAACCCCTCAGCTCTTTGGCAACATTTGGCTGTCAATGGCCAGCTTGGTGATCTTCATGCAGCTCCGCTACCTGTTCCACGAAGTGCAGCGACGCATCCAGCGTCACAGGAACTATCTGCGTGTCATCGACAGCATGGAGGCCAGGTTGGAGGCCATGGATTGTCTGCAGTTATTTTTACAGCCTAGTCATGGCGTGAACCTTCCTTTGGTGGCGTCCATTTTGGCTCTTCTCCATGCAGTGCATCGTGGTGGCTAATGTGTGCTCTGCTCGGTGTGCTCACAGGTTCGCATTGGCCACCCCAGAAGAGCTGGCAGACAATGACGACGACTGCGCAATCTGCTGGGACTCCATGCAGGCGGCCCGCAAGCTGCCCTGCGGCCATCTGTTCCACAAGTGAGTGCCGACAGCGTAGCGCCTCACTGTGACAAACACACTCTCCAAATCCCCGCAAATTGACCACCGGCGTGTCTGTGCTGTCACAGCTCCTGCCTGCGTTCCTGGCTGGAGCAAGACACCTCCTGTCCCACCTGTCGCATATCACTGAGCATCACCGAAGGCGGCCAGATGCGGAATGACCAGCAGAGGGAGCTTCTCAATGATGGCATTGGCGCCGTTGTTGGGGCGGACGCTCACCCACACCACAATCATCACAACCACTTCTTCCACTTTGACGGTAAGGCAGACAGTTATGTGGCTGATAAACACCTTGACAAGCTAGCGTAATTTTTAATGCTGTACTGCTTGCAGTCGCTAACATCCAGCTAGCAAACAGAACAGAATACGTATTTGCATCCTCCTGTAGGCTCTCGCATTGCTAGCTGGCTGCCTAGTTTCTCAGTAGAAGTTATGCACACCACCAGCATCCTAGGAACGACACGGGTCAATAACTCCCAGCTCAATGCCATGGTGAGTATTCAGAACCAGCTATGTTGCTCCTGCTTGAGAGCATCATGGGCTCCTCAAGGCTGAACTTCTCGGTCACATTCCCTACAGGCTCATCAGATCCACGAGATGTTTCCCCAGGTGCCCTACCAACTGGTACTGCAGGACCTGCAGCTCACACGCTCCATAGAGCTCACCACTGACAACATTCTGGAGGGACGTATCCAAGGGGTCTCTACCGCACAGGTCAGTTTAATGTAGCTCCATGCCACAAGGGGGCAGTGTGGAAATAGCTTTAATTGGAGTCTCCTTCCCGGCTCCGTGTGTGGGGTTTGCAGGTTGCCTCTGTGTCGTTGTGGGGTTTTCTCTAGGTTCTCCATGACCCCCCCCCCACTCCAGGCTTCCCCCCCACTGTCCAAAAACATGCTAAGGTGAATTGTAAATGGAAAATTGTCCATAGGTGTGACTATATGTGCTCTGGGATGTGTTCCAGACACCCAAAACCCTGCATAGGACATGCATGTATGCAACACAGATAGGTGGCTTGATGGATGTTCACATTGGGTACCCCAATTCCAACTGCTTTTACCATAGCATTTTATTTCTGATATCACCTGAAAAGCGTTTACTTAATTGAATGTTTACTGTTTGTTCTGTGCATTAAAAAAAACAATGAAAAACTAGAAGTGATATATTCAGAAGGACCAGACTGTGCATGTTCATCTAAATTCCACGTAATGATTTTCCCGCCAGTGTGTAATCCTGACTCCTGCTGGCTGAGTGGCCTGAGTATACTATTGCTCTGCTTTTCCCTCAGCCCAGCGAGCACGCCCCATTCCAGGAAAGCCAAGCCTCAGAGGAGCAGACGGGGGCCAGAGGTGGGAGGGAGGAGGCGCCGTCTGCGGAGGCACGGGGAGGCCGCTTCTCCAAGTCGGCGGTGGAGAGGCAGAGAATGCTTCTGCAGAGGAAGGAGGAGCTGCTTCAGCAAGCGCGCAGGTGCTGCACCACCCCGGCCGTCCGCTGGGAGGGTCACTTACAGGCTGAACTTCTGTCCACCCTCTGCCTGTGCGCCCCCCTACCTTCTGTACGGCTGCTTGCAGCGCAGTACCTCCAGCCGTTAGATATATCAGGGGTACTCTATTTCCAAATTCCATCAGTGACGCAAAGTCAAGGTCCTCTTCCCCCGATAAACATTTTCCCAGGGGGGGGGGCATTGGTTGTGCAGTCCAGATTAAATTGTGTTTTGATTCGAATATGGACCGGAGTCCTTCAGTTGATTTATCCCTGAGATGCATGTACTTAGTGATGAGCAAATGAAGCTTCAGGAACCCTTTGCTAAACTTTCTGACTCACTAGATGGTGCTCTCTGTTCAAAAAGGCCTCAAAACCTACCTCAAAGCAAACCAAGAGGGCTACCTTGGAAAAATACCACAAAAGGTTCATGAAGCTTAATTTGGCCATCACTACATGTTCCTATGTTCTGCCATTGATTCTTGCTTTTCTCGTCCACCAGAGGGAGCTCTGACAGGTTCTCCTTTCTTTGCTGATGTTCATGCCTTGTTTTGCTTCACTGAGTGCAGCTGCGCTGATGGGTGCTTCTTCTTGCTCGATTAATCCCCTGTCTCACCACAGGCGGTATCTGAGTAAGACCCCAGAGGAAAGAGATGAGGACGGCCTGGAGGGTGATGCTGTCTCCCCGGACCCTGTGGTGCTGCGTCGCCGGATGCTGGCAGCAGCTGCGGAGAGCAGACACCACTGGCCCCCAGACGAGGACCAGCACCAGGAGCAGGACCTGTCCCAGTGAGGCTGGCCCAGAAGCCTATCGTGCTTCACTTTCACACCAGCAGTGATCTCTTAGCCCCTCTACCTGTGGGGAGACTCCTCCCCCTTAGAATTATAGGGCTCTGACATTAGTCCAACAGATAAATACTGAGACAAAAATCTTAGATTATGAAAGTTATTTCAGGTGTTTAACAAAGTGTAGAGAAGATTCTCTGCCATTCACTTTAAGCTGAACTTGTTGGAGCATTGAACTGGTATCTGATGACTTTGTATTTAAGAGCCACAGAGTTACAGAACATCTGTCTGATCAAACCCTCTAATTCTAAGCTTCAAAATGCTGAAAAGATGAATGGTTTTCTACTGGAGTTGTTCTATACACACAAAGGTGTTATATTTTGCTAAGCTGTGACATTGCTGTGAAAGAAAATCTCTTAAAGGGACTTGAGTATGTAAAGGACTTAAAAGCTTTAATTAATCTCATCCCAGGCAAAGCATGGATGTTAATGAAGAGTATGGACAGGGCTTGCCTTGCTTGTAGGTTTCTGAAGAATTGTTTTAGCTGTTACCTACCTCTGTGTGGTCGGTAGAGTGAGACACATAATGACTGTGCTCTGGTTGGGTTTGCCAGAGGTTGGATGGATGGCACAACGAGCAGGATGTTTTCTTGGTTTGGATAAGAGGGGCTTTTCTGGGTTCTGGTTTGTTTTTGAATGTTATGTGCAGGATAAATTTTATGTCGGTTTTTAAGTTGTGAATTCAGAAGGCTTATCATATAACTGGAACATTAACAAAAAAGTAGTGATGGGCAAATGAAACTTTATGAACCATTTTCTGCATATTCTGATCCTACTAGATGGTGCTCTTGGTTTACGTTGAACCCTTTTTTGAACAGAGAGCACCATCTAGTGGTGTCACAGAATACAGCAAATGGTTCATGATGATTCATCTGGTCATTACAAAAAAGCAAAAAACTTCCAAAGAGGAGAACCTCCCCAGTGTTAGTCTAAAATATGAAAGTGCTGTTTATAGAAGGTGAGCTGATGACCGTGAGGCATGTTCTGCATGTGTTTGAAGATACGTGGAGGGGTTCGCGTCAAGTGTCCAGTGAGGAATTCTGCAGTACGGTCTGATGCAGAAGTGGCAATATGAACCGTGGGGATCAAGTCCTAATGTTCTCCAGTCTAAGAGTCAAGCTTAGCTGTATTAGCATTATTGAACTAATGCCCTATATGTGCATATTCCTGTTCTTATAATAACAACATTGCTTGCATTAAATGCTGCAGGGTTTAAGCTTCTTAACCTTGGATTGCTTTTGGAATGGTTACGCTTGAGGTGGGCCTGCTCCTTTCTGCTTGACCCTGCTTCGCTTTTATTGGTCAATGTCCTAACTGTCCTCGGAGTGGGTATTACCACACTCTTTATCTGCAGCTAAGGATGCAGGTGAAGTCTTGATCTGTCACTTAACCCAAGGGCTAAAATAACTGGCTGGGCGTTCCCTGTTTACTTTACAGACTTTGCGAGGCTTGTTGTTTTTAACAATTTATGTGTCTGTCTGACAAACGTATATGTGCTCACAGCATGGGCAGCTTCCATCTAATAGGAAAACCGGAATCTATAATGTGACTCTTCTCGTCTGTTAGATCTGTCCCATTGGTGTCAGTGCTTGTTCATGCATTATATGTTCAGTTCCATTCAGTTGTGCGTTACCGCTTGTTTAAGTTCATTTAAGTATTGGATTGAGACTTATAGGTTCTGGTCATCACTTAGTCTGTTGACATTTCTGGTCTTGTTACTAGAATTCTGTACCTTTTGCCTTGAACTAGCCCTGTGTACATGTAATAACAGTAACTGTTCTGCCAGTGGTTTGGTAGGAACACAGTTAGTGTTAAAGTATGCTGTCAGTTCCGCCTATATTCACATAGCTGCTGCAGAATCAGTGTACGGAGACTGTCAGTTTTTGGCAAACTCTACCTGTCTGTTCCTTTGTGTCCCCGTTATCGTCAATGTGACGCTTTCCTATGCATGTACCTGGCTATCCCAGGGAGGGACACACTGGGACCTGGAAACCTTTCCAAAGAGCTTATAGCAGATAAAAACTCCAAAGCAAAGTCTTCTGCATTACTTGTGATGTGATGCAGTTTTTCATGCCAGTGGCACTCACTGCATTTTGGTTTGTCACTATGCAGGATCCATTTTGCAAAATCATCCAATTGCACTGAGACTCTGTCTTCAGCCGTAGTTTTACACACGTAAGAAACTGCAGTTTGATTGCTTTATAAACGAAATGTTGTGCCTAAATCAACAATGTATTAATGACGCAATGATTTTGAATTTGCAAATTATTTTGTAATTAAGTGTATAATAAATGTAAATTATCCCTGTGTAAAATTAAAGTTACTACTGGGACCCTCTTACTCCTTTCTCATCAGTTGGGAAAATGTAGTTCCGCAGCAAAACTAGCAGTTTTTTTTTTATTTTTATTTTTTTTTAAAGTACTACGTCGTACCACTGGAGGGCAGTATCTACTTGTGCTTTAGGGTTCAGTAAATGAAGGGCTATGACTAACTTGACTCCGTGTTTTTGTGTTTTGCCTTCTGATCTATGTCCATTCTCCAATGTCTCACTGATACTTTATTTTGCTCTGTATGCTATGAATTTTCCTGGCTTCTGCACCCAATGATGGATATTAAATAGAGGTATGCAACTCAAAAACAGTGCTTGACAAAATGGATACTGAAAGATTCAGGCAAGCTGAGGGAAGCTTTGATGGCGAAAATGCAGTGATTGAAATACAGCAGTGCAAATGCATCCAGGTCATTCTGTGGTGCCTCAAATGTGTGGAAAATGTTACCTTCTCTCAGCTCTCCTGACATTTGCATTGAGCTATCAGTCCCATCATTAAAATGCTCACAATCCATTTGACTTTTGACTTGGAGCAGTGGAATGATGCTGAGCTGTTTTGTTCTATCACACCTGCTAAGTCAAGCCTCTGTTGTCACGGTGCTAACAAAGTGCTGATTGCACTCTTTGTTGTTAATGAAAGGAACTCGTAGCACAGAATGAATGCTATGTCTTTCTGGAGTTTCTGAGCATGTTGTACATGTGCTTTACATTTCCTGTGGATATTCTATATCTCAGATTGAGCAGCAATCTAATTCCGTGTAACTGAATTATGAGCTCTTTTATTTATTTGTTTATTTAATTAAAGGTCATTGGCATGCACTTTTAATTCTGTGTAAGCCAGCGTGGCACTGGGCTTAACCAATCGGGAATCTCCTGAGCACATGCCAAAATGCACATCTCATTACTCCCTATTAGCTCTGTGCCTTGGTGAGCTAAGCTTTGCCTGTGAAACTCATACAGTGCCTGGCACTCGTGTGGCCAGTGACACGTGGAGAGTAGGTGCTCTCCATCAAGGCCAGGAAGGCGGGGATGGTCGCTGGTAGATCCGCTTCAGGTTCCAGAGGATCTCCCTCAGTTTTGAATCTTTCAGGATGGGATCGGTCCCGCTGCCCGGAAGTGTAATTGATTTTTGCAGTAGGGCCAACTAACCGAGTGGTCAACTCACAGAAGATTCTCCAGTGAGGGCAGAGATGCAGGCTTGAACTATGCTCAGAATAATGAATTTGCCTGTTTTGGAAGGGGATCTAGTTCCTATATTTGGCTGAAAAACCAACGTTGTAGCCTTGTTTATTTTTATATCCAGTTAAGCCTAAAGGACACGATTATTATCATATGCAAGCACTGCACCAATATCTCTGAACTTGTTTGGTTTTGCCTCTGTTTCCTTTGCTGTCAGGAATATTGATTTAGATTTACATGGGTGATGGCAGAGAAGACATGGGCCTTTCCGTGTGTTTTATAGAATGTTTTCACAAGTAATCTCCTGCTGGCCCTTAATCCCTGTCAAAAGTATCTCACAACTACGAATGGATTAGATAGAAGCTTTGTTGGACCTTGCTTCAGAGATGACATTCACCACAGGACCTCGTACTGTCACCCCTGACCATAGCTCCAGAGCAATGTGACATTTATTTTTATCTTGCCGACACTTTGTCCAAGCGACAAAGAAGTCAGGCAAAATGCCACATTACAAACCTAGGCGCAGTCGACTAGGCATAAGTGCAGCTAGGCTGAGCTTCCAGTGAGTTCCCAGGTACAGGTGTAGTATTGGAGCAGTGACAATGAGGTTTATAAACCAGTACCCAACCAGATGTGTCAAAATTACTTGTTTATAAAAAAAAAAAAACGAACTAAAGCTAGCAAATATGAAAATATATACAAATAAGTTAAAAACTGGAATGAATGGTGGTATTTTTACTCAAAACATCAGTAATGTACAGTAGTTTTCAGCAGTTCAAATGACGAAAAATAAAACTATGCAAAACCTAGACTTCCAAATTTCCCAGTGATGCTTAAATGCACTTTTAATAGCTGTGGGCAACTTTGTTTGTAGTTGGGCTGGTTTTGAAAGACATCCTGAATTCCACAGAGAAAATGACTACATGAGGTTCTGATTGTGACATGCTTTGTAGTCGTCCCCCCCCCCCTTTGGGCCCAGCATGGTGCCCGTATGGGACTGTGTGGTACAAAGGGGAAGCCAGCAAGCATGTTCAGCAGATTGTTTTCTACCATCCCCCATCTAGTACAGTTTAGCTGAAAGAAGTGTGATATATTTACACTCTAGAGGTGCTGCTGTTGCCATTTCATTTAAGAGGCTTCAGGTTTCTATATTTTAGATCCTCTGCCTTATGTGACACCACTTGGCATCTTTGCTTTCAAGATCAGAGTGGCTGCTCAGCAGCAAGTGGCATGTGTTCCATTAACTCAATTAATTCCATTCAGTTTTATTTGTATAGCACATTTTTGCAACATTACAACAAAGTGTTTTACATTAGTCTTGCCCAAAGCCCCCAGTGAGCAAGCCAAAGGCAACAGTGGCAAGAAAAACCACCCTAGTAGGAAGAAACTTTGGGAGGAACCAGACTTTAAGGGGGAGCCCATCCTCCAGGGGCCGGCAGAGGAAGTCAAATGAACAAAATGATCAAATCCTAATTTGTAGTCCAAATATTAATATTCAAGTCTGGATGCAAAGGGTAGGCAGGTGCAGGTGCTCCATTAATGACCATGGTTCATATTTATGTTGCTAAAACTGGCACCATAACTCGTACCACAAATACAGTCGGTGGCCACCTGCTCGCTAATGCAAACGGCCTGTTCATCCAAACAGCAAATCATGTGGCTGCAACTGAATACAAACGGCATGCACTTAGAATGGCTAAGATGCCTGATCTAAGTAATTTTGAATGTGTTGTGATTGTTGGTTCCAGATGTGGCAATTCCAGCATCTCAGAAATGGCTGCCCTCCAAGGATTTTCACATACTACAGCAGGGGTAGTGAACCTGATCCATTGAGAGCCAGTGTGGGTTTTTGGGATGATCTGTCAATCAGTCAGTAGTAAAGCAGTGGTTCGCAACTCCAGTCCTGGGGACCCACTGTTATTGGCTGATTGAGAGGTCATCTCAAAAACCTGCACCAGCTCCCCATGGATCAGGTTTGCCACCCCTGTACTAGTGTCTAGAGTTTATAGAGAATGGTGTGATAAGCAAAAAAATGTCCAATCTGTTGCAGCAAGATTTGTTAAAACTAACAGGAAAATCACCAGTGCAAAAATAACAGCTCAGTAGAGCAATAGTGTGCAGACAGGCTTTTGTGAGCATATACTGTAACTCTATTCTTGAAATGTTTCTAGACGCAAACGTGTATCCTACCTGGTACTCCATAGGTGTACGTAACTGAAAGGGGTAAAAGCATGTAGTAATATCCTGCCAAGCACAAAATTCTGCATCTGTATGTCTAGTGGTCATATTATGGACAAGGGAAGTCCGGTGTATCTTTGTAACTGGGAAGAAATTAGTATGTATTTCATTATTCACTGTTATTTTGCAATCAGTTAAAGGAAAAAAGCTGAAAACTTATTGGTTATATTAAGTCAATTTTTCTGAGCTTATCAATAATAGACTGAAAGATTTTTGGTAGCCTTCACAGCTGCTGTTCTTTTGCCCAAAACATGTCTGGCTCATCCGATAGTCCATCATTAATCATGGATAAATCATCGGGAGCCATGGGTATTGTTGACAAGTCATAAGTCCTTCTACAGTTTCTTAGAGGGATCCGAGTTCAACCTCACACTGGGCCGCTCCAGGTCACCCACTCCAGTGTCGTCACCACAGTCTTGGGTCATTGTCCTGATAAAGGTTAAACATCCTTCTCAGTCTTAAGCTTTTGCAGCCTGAACCAGGTTTTCCCTCAGAGCTTTTCATCTTTATCTCCTTATATTTTTACACTGTCCTTCCCATATCGTGATGCCACCAACAACATGATTATAGGATTATGTGATTAGGTCAGTGTGGTAGGACTGCACCGGGGTTGGTGCTTTGTAATGAGGTTAAATAATTCATTATCTGTTTCTCTGGACTACAGAATGTTTTGGCACATCATCTCCCACATGCTGCTTTGTCAAGCCTGCATGAGGGTTTCTTCCGAAACACTTCCTGTTTCAACCCTGAAGGTTAGTTTCAAGGTCCTAGATTCAAGATTAAAGCAACTTATTGTCATATGTACAGTGTATACCCAATAAAATTCTTTTTTTGTTTACTTCGTATGATATAAAACAAAAACCAAAAGGAATAGCACAGAAGATAAGCATATAAAAAATGTAAATGTACCACGTATACAAGTATTAAGGCAAAGAAAGTGCCTAACAATATAAATTATGACTAATACAAACACAAAAAACAAAAAGCAGTTTTCACGAGAGGAGTGAAGACATCTGCCACAAGGTGGTGCCATCTTCAGAGTAGTCCTATCTTAGTCATTTGACTCTCTCCTTGGCTTTGTGATGTTGTCTTTACTTAGCTGTTCAGGTTGTGAGAACATGTGTCTGAATCACATGGTCACACACAGTCTGATTGACTTATACAGAATTTTACAGATTTCTAATGGTCTTCACTGTTCAACAAAGTTTAATTTGCTTCAAAATAAAATCTTCTTCTTTTTATCGCTTTCTCCTAATCTGTACCATTCTACAACCCTTAAAAGCTCCTTCATCTTCATGGGTGTGTCTTTGTCTTGCCTGCATGGTCCACTGTGGGACACAGATGTATTTGTCCAGAAAGCATGAATCATTTTTAATGCACACAGATGGACTTCATTCAATAACAGTGGGTTGTGCCTGAGCATCATTGCAAAGGGAGTGAATACTGATTTAATGAACACTTCTCAGCTGTTTGGTTTTTGTTTTGTTGTTTCACAGTGAAGAAGTTTTGTGTAGGTTGTGGATCAGGGTTGAATGAGGCACTTAAAGTGCTCAAATGTTCCGGCTGGGACAAAATAAGATCTGGGATTTTTGCAAAAAGGATGAAATTTTGCATGCATTTTATATGTTGATTAAAGTAATAGGCTGTTCCATATTTCAGCTAAGTTTATAAAGTTGTTGAACATACATTCAAATAAATTCAGTGAGTACATACACTCACCTAAAGGATTATTAGGAACACCTGTTCAATTTCTCATTAATGCAATTATCTAATCAACCAATCACATAGCAGTTGCTTCAATGCATTTAGGGGTGTGGTCCTGGTCAAGACAATCTCCTGAACTCCAAACTGAATGTCAGAATGAGAAAGAAAGGTGATTTAAGCAATTTTGAGCGTGGCATGGTAGTTGGTGCCAGACGGGCTGGACTGAGTATTTCACAATCTGCTCAGTTACTGGGATTTTCACGCACAACCATTTCTAGGGTTTACAAAGAATGGTGTGCAAAGGGAAAAACATCCAGTATGCGGCAGTCCTGTGGGCGAAAATGCCTTGTTGATGCTAGAGGTCAGAGGAGAATGGGCAGACTGATTCAAACTGATAGAAGAGCAACTTTGACTGAAATAACCACTCGTTACAACCGAGGTATGCAGCAAAGCATTTGTGAAGCCACAACACACACAACCTTGAGGCGGATGGGCTACAACAGCAGAAGACCCCACCGGGTACCACCCATCTCCACTACAAATAGGAAAAAGAGGCTACAATTTGCACGAGCTCACCAAAATTGGACAGTTGAAGACTGGTTGGTGCTGGTGTAATG